GTCACTTAGGTTCAAGATAATCAAAGAATAGGCAAGTTCATCAAATTCTGCCTTTTTGGCAGCAGGAGTGGTATCATCATAAGCTAAAGTAACAGCTTTAAAACATTTTTGTTGTACTAAAACACCTTTTATTTTCTGTTGCCAAATAGGAAAATCCCCTTTTCCATCAAAAGGAGCTAAGGGATAAGCATTCATTGTTTCACACAGATAAGAGGCACAGAATCACACAGCCACACAGAATCACACAGAAAATACAGAGTAGAGCCGTAACAAATCAGATTGCCCTCCCCTTTCCAGATTCCTGCGACACTAAGGCGGTCCGGACAAGAAAGGGTGGATGAGAGCAATCCTTAACTACACTAAGTGCGGAAGAAATAGCAAGTAGAAGAGAGGGAAAGATCAAGCAAGGTCAAATAATGCCACACAGGGCCACATAATGCCACACAGGGCCACCTAATGCCACACAGGGCCACCACGCCACACAGGGCCAACTCAATAGCCACACAGGGCTCCCAATCTCCACAGGTCAACGAACAGGAAACGAAATTAGGGTTTCAGAGGTGTTACCTTGACAAAACCAAGTTAGGTTTTGAATTACTCCGCTTTGAGTAGAGCTAAGCTATAGCCATAGCTCTGATACCACTGTAGGGTATCAAATCGCCAAGCTCCATTCACTACCTACTGAAAACTATATGTATTCCCCTTATGCAGTATTGATTACTGCCAAGGAGAATAGATATATATGTATAGGTATGAATATATAAAAGAAAGAAAGAAATACAAGGTATGAAATTAATTGGAAAAAACAAATAGATTGAGATTTCAGCTCAGTCTTCCAATTTCACACCAGAGATTCACACTTCCAAATATACACCACCAGAGTACCTCAAGGAGAACAGATCTCCTTTCTCTCTCACAACACTCAAACCCTAAAATACCCAGAAAACCACGAAGGAAGAACAGATCAAGCACTCAAGCTAACCCACTCACCAAAACCCCAATTTCTGAACTCACAAAGAAGAAAAACGAAGGGATTTAGGTCTGATTAGGGTTTTTATCTGTCTTACCCTCTTCCAGCCTCCATGCCAACATATATAGGGACTGAAGTCAAAGAGAGCCGGTGAAGGCTGTACCGGAGGGTCAAAGTCAGCACTGTACCGTGCACTTTGACCTCCAGCCATAACTCAGTCAAGGCAGTACAAGGGAGGAAGAAGACATAAGCAGGAGCGGCGGAGAAGAGAGATTAAAACTTAGGGTTTCAGAGTGAGAGAAACGAAGAGAGAGAAAATGCTATTTAAGTGAGGTACTGAACGGTCCAGATTAAGCCTGAGATCCAACGGATGGATCTGGCTCTGAAATGGGCTGGGCTCACTTATAATAACTTGGGCTTAACTCAAATGGTGGTGTATATATAAATGATGGCAATTGGGCTTTATGGCCCAGAACATATTTGGGCCAAAATCCAACAGTTTAAAATAAAATTATATACTACAAATACTATATTGTGAATTTTCTTTTAATATTTAATTTAATCAATTAGTAAGATTTGAATCGATGAAGTACAAATCCTTTCAATTAGTTAACATTATTCAAATATTTGAATCGGTTGCTTAACTATTGACATAACATGTTACATAATTGATTTAACTATTTATCATTGTTATCAGAACCGGACCGGCTATAGAACCGGACGACCATTTGGGTCATGGGTTTATAGGGTCGAACCGGTTCAACCGGGTTTTTAAGTTTTTTTTAATATGTCATTATTTTATTAATTTTAATGTTTTAAAAATATTATTTCTATATTTTTAATCTTCCATTTATTATTTTCACTTTTATCTACTTCACCTCACTTTTTACTATATTTGATTGCTTATAATCTATAATTTTCCATTTTTTATTCTTCAAATCCGGCAATCGGCCACCTCTATTCGATCACCCATGATCATATCCGACAATTCTTCGACCACTCATGACTAGATCCGACCACCCACTACTAAGTTTGTGAATGTTCGCTCAAATCTAGCCACAAATAACCAACTCAGCGGTGATTCGAGACGCTGTGGCCGAAAACCGGGTTCCTTGACTGACTGTTCGGTTCTCGGGTTTTACCCGGTCGAACCGCATTTTAGTCATTTGACCCCGGTTTTCAATTTTTCCGGTTTTAGATGTTAGACCGGACCGCTTTATTGCCAGGTCACAGTCGAACCGGTTCGACCGGCCGGTTCGGTCCGGTTCTAACAACATTGCTATTTATAAGTAATGTCTAATATCTTTTTAATTCAATTTTGTCATAAAAAATAATAAATTTAATTCCTTACACATGTAAGAACCTAATCGTAAATCATAATATTTTATCAAAGCGTAATATTTGAACCAATTAAGCTCAAGTCCTTTCAATTCGTAAACATTATTCAAATATTTGAATCGATTCATTAGCGCGCTCAACTATTGACAAGAACGTCTTAATCAAATTAACTATTATTAATTAAAGTGTGATACATGTTTAATTCAATTTTATCATAAAAAAATAATTCCTACATTACGCAAGAATCAAATCATAAGATTAATTAAAGCGTATGATTTGAATCAATTAAGCGCAAATCCTTTTAATTTGTAAATATTATTCAAACATTTGAATCGATTAAGTTCAACCACTAACAAGAACGTATTAATCGAGTTAACTATTTATAATTAAAGTCTACTATATCCTTTTAATTCAATTTTAACAACAAAATAATAATTTAATTCGTAAAATCGTAAGAATTAGATCGTAAATCGTAAGATTTAATCTAACCATGAACCGATTAAATCTTACGATTTTTATGAATTAAATTTTATTATTTTTTATGATAAAATTCAATAAAAAAAGGTTACTAAACTTTAACTATACACAAATTGATTAATACGCTATTGTAAATTATTGAGTTTAACCGATTCAAATATTTGAATATTGTCTACGAATTGAAATGAGTTGAGCTTAATCGATCAAATATTTGAATGTTGTTTTTGAATTGAAAACACATGAGTTTAATTGATTCAAATATTACGATTTAATTAAATCTTACAATTTAATTACGATTCAATTCAAACTTCAAATTCTTTCGAAATTCATTTTTAAATTACACGAGTTGAACAACATTTCCTTAGATTTTTAAATTATATTATATAAAGATTTGTTAGTATGGGATATTTTTAATATATAATAATAATAAGGGGTTAATATGCTTAGGTCCCTCCTACCAAATTTAATTAGAACTAAATAACAACCACAAACTATTTTTTTTAAATACACCCTTATTTTAAAATTTAATATGACCCACATGCTAAATTTTTTTTATCCCTAATTTACCCTCATACCCTAAATATAACCTCTATTCACGTTCTCTAAATCAGATCCGTTTCTCTTTTTCAATTCTCTCTCTTTCTCTCGGTTATTTTCTCTCGCTCTCTTGCGTGCTCTCTCTTAATCTCTCTCTTTTCTCTTTCTCTCAATTATGGTGGGATGGCTATGAAGATCTTGATGTGGGCGGCGGTGTTTCTGGTTGTTGGCGGTAGCGGCGGTGGTTCTGGTTGCTGGTGGCTGGCGGCGGCGGCGGTAGTTCTGGTAGTTGAGGGGCGGCGGTGCTTATGATTGATGGGTGATTTTCTCCGACGGCAATGGTGCTTTTTGGTATGAAATTGATGTATGTAGGGTTTGGGAGAGGGGATCGTTCTTCAAGACTGCTGCTTATAGCCTTTTTTTTCTTCTTTTTTTTCCTTTTTTTTTTCCTGTTTTATCCAGCTAGTAGTCGTTCCTTTTGCATTATAGTGTTAGTTAATTGTTTTTGGGTTGATTTGGATTATTTTTATAAGTAATGTTTGGCTGACAGAAATGGTTGGGTGGGGTTTGTGGTATTTTTAGCGGCGCGGTGATGGTGGCGTCGCAGATCTAGGGTTTGGTGGGGCGGATCTAAGATTTTTCGATTTTATGTCTATAGATGTCTATGAGTATCTATGGGTATTTATGGTTTCTGGCGGCTAGGTTTCAAAGGAGGAATTAGGGTTTTTAAGAATAGGTTACTACAGATTACTACAGTTTTCTGTGAGTCTCTATACATGACTACGGACTACTACGGTTTCCTATGGATTTTATAGATTACTATGGCCGAAAAAAATTAAAAAATCATAATTTTCAATATTATGTAGAAAAAAAAGGAAAAAAATACGAAAATGCAAAAAGAAAAAAGTTGTTCTACGAAAAAAAAAAACAAAAATGCTAGATGCAAAAACAAAAATGTTAAATGCAGAATGAAAAAAATGATAAATACAGTTTAAATATTACTTGGTACATATTTCATTTTTTGTATGTGGGGGCATTTTTGGAATGAAATTTATAAAGGATGTGAAGCAAATGTGTAGTTAGACTTGTCATTTAGTTCTAATAAGTTTTTTCACCAGGGACCTATATCTTAAAGCCCCTAATAATTATTATATGAGAATTAATAATTTATTTAACATTATTTATATAAGTTTTATAACCATTATAAATTGTAGCTTTGTGATATATATCCGTATTGTTAGTTTATTGTCAATTATGTGTTGTGTCTTAATGGTAAGTTTTCTTGTATGTTTTCAGATGATCACAAGTTTGAATTCAGGTTGATGCAATTTTGAATGGGTGGTTTAATGATTGTTACGAATAATGATATAATTTACGTTATAAATTTTAATTCAGCAATAAATATATATTTAAAATTGCATTAAAATAGAGAAGGTTAAATTGACATTTCATTAATAATTTATAATTGCTGATTTTTTAAAATAATAATTGTAAAATGGGTATTTGCGACAATACATAAATGGAGAAAAAATAAGATTTTTTGGTGGGACACGTGTCGCAATTTAAATGGGGTATCTCATAAAAGTTTAGAACATAGGATCTCACCCTAGAAAGACCCTCTATATAACCATACAAATTGATAATTTTTCAAGCATAAAATTAGATGGACAAGAACATATAAATAAAAAGTGAAAACACAAATTCAATAAGAAAACTGAATAGAAAATACACGTAACATGAAATGCACTGGCCGATAAACATCGGGTGTAGGGTCGAGGGAGCCTCGATCGGGACCTAGCTCCTCAGGTCCTAATTATTAATTAACTCCAAGCGCACAAACGACAAAAGGTAAATAAAAGCACCATAAAATAACTGCATATATATATATAGAGAGAGATTAGTAGGAAGCATGGTGGTGAGAGAGATCCTGGGAGTTCAAGTTCTGATAAACATCATTAACGAACCAGGTCATATCATTGTAGAGCTGTTGTGCGGCGCTGGTGTTCTGCAGCTCGATCCCATGGTACCCGCCTTGGTTGAACCGGTAATAAACCGGGACTTTACAAGACTGCAAGTACTGTGCCAAAAGAATCGATCTGTCAACTAACGGGTCGCCGTAATCCCCCTTGATGTACACTTTGGGCAAACCCTTGACCCGACCCATGTAACTCCCGCCGGATATCGGGTTGCAGTACTCATGGTCCCTGTTCATGTAGGTCGGCAGCGCCAAAGACCACAGTACATCGTTCACGTACAAAGGAACGTAAGCGTCTTCTATCAGGTTTTTCTCCGACTGGGTTCTCGTTAGCCCGCCGAAGAAAGCCTGGTTCATAAGCAGCCCTTTGATTTTGACTGGCCGGAGATCGTAGTCTAGTAACTGGAGGGCCACGTGGTAGGCTATGTTGGCGCCGGCGCTGCTTCCTAGGAGGTAGGTCTTTGTGAAGTCGGCGTACTCCAGCCAGGGGTCTTGGCCCCCGATGCCCAGGGACTGGTTCTGGGCCCACAAGACCGCGTTCAGCCCGTCGAAGTAGGCTGCGGGTAGGCGGTTCTCCGGAGCCAGGCGGTACTCGACGGAGATGACGATGGCGGGGAAGGCGGCGGCGATGTCGTTGCAGAAGTTGTGGTAGATGACGGTGGAGGCGCTGTAGAGGACGAAGTCGCCTCCGTGGAGGTAGATGATGAGGGGGAGCTTCTTTTTGGGCGGGATTACGGCGGGGCGGTAGAGGCGGACGGTGGCTTTGGTCTTCCAGTTGAGGGTGATGTCCTGGGAGAGGACCGTCGGAGATGGGGTGGTGGAATCCTCGTACGGGGTTGCGTCGGCCATTGGGATCTGGACGGTTCTGTTTAAGGTTCCGTCACGGTTCCATGCTATGCCGAGGGCTTTGAAAGCCTCTTGCCACGTGTGTGCCTTTGATTGGGCTTGCTGCAGCCATTGTTGTTGGGAAGCGAACAAGAAGAAGAAGAAGAGAAGAAGAATGCTGCGAGTATTCGTGGCCATTTTTTTCTTTGGGTTTAATTTGTGACTTACTATAATTTAATTGGGGGACTTATTTAAAGGAGTTTTTGCATGGGCAACTCAACAATTGTCCTAACTCCGATCCACACTTGTCTATAATATTCATGTGGTCCTAAAATCTCAGATAATATCCTATTTTGTGTTCACACGCGTGGAACTATTAGTTATTAATTGTAAATCGGGCTCACTTTAAGCCATTTTATCAAATCTACAAACCTAATCAACCTCCACCAAATCAGAAATTTATTATTTGAGATATTTATTAGACACAATTTGGGGTAAAATTCAAAATCATTCCTGAGGTTTGCACTCAACTTCAAATTCACCCCTGGGGTTCTATGGAACTTCAATTTCATCCTCCAAATCTTTTTAGCCGCCAAATGTGAAGGAAATTTTCAGAAATCCCCAAACTGCCCTTTATCCCTTAAACTAACTATTTGGCTCCATCTTCTCAAAAGAAAAAAAAATATTTATTATTTTTCTCTTCAAAGATTATTTATGATTTGAATTTTTTAACATGAACTCTTATTGAAATTAATTTTTTAACATGAACTCTACTATTAAAATAAATGGTAAAACAAGGTTTTAACGAGGCCTCTTTCTATTTAAAAAAAAAATCTGATTCATCTTCAAATTATACATATTCAACTAGTTCATCTTACATAGTTCACATAAATTGCATAATCAATAACATAACTAAAGGAGTTTCAATAATCATTTTTTAATATTTATGTTTCATATACTATTTTGATTAGTGTTAATTAATAAATATTTATTATTTATGGTATTTTGTGTGGCAATCTTTAAAAAAGACTGCCCCAAACCCCATAAATATTTAGTTCATCATTTTAAATCTCAGCCGGAAATAAATAATTCATGATTCCGTATTTTGGGTGAGTGTATAATATTTTATGTGTGTGTTCACATTTATAAAAACTAAAATTTGCTCCAACTATTTTTTCCAGCAACTAGTTTTTCAAACAATTATATTTTTCCACCAAAGTTCACTATTTGTTGGGGGCAGTCCTGGTATTTCTTGTTTTTATTCAGGATTTAGTTTCAATTTTGATAATTGTTAAAAATTATAGTTACAAATTAGTAGAGAAAAAAAATATTAAAAATATTTAATTACAGAAATATCATTGGGGTTTTTAGGGTTGCCCGACGTTTCTTTATTTTATATATAAGATCGAATTTCTATATTTATCTCTTAATATTTGAGATATTAATGAAAAATAGGAGATTGATAATTGTTGAAAATTATAGTTAAAAAATTGGTAGACAAAAAATATTAAAAGTAAATAATTACAAAAGTACCATTAGATAGGATTCTTGAGGATTTAGTTTCATTTTTTATAATGTTAAAAATTATAGTTGGAAATTAGTAGAGAAAAACAAATATTAAAAATATTTAATTACAAAAATACCATTGGGGTTTTTTAGAGTTGCCCAGCGTTTCTTTCTTTTATATATAAGATATCAATAAAAGTATTAGTATCAGTATCACTGTCCGTATGAATATCAATATCAGTACCAATATGAGAATCAATACGAGTCTCAATATGAGCATCGGTATCAGTGTTAGTATCAGTATCAATATCAGTCTCAGTATCATTATGAGTTTCGATGTGAATATATAATGCATCGGTATGAGTATAGGTATTATCAACATGAGTATTAATATCAGTATTATTGTTAGTATCAGTGTACTTATCAGTATCAGTATAATTACGGTTATCACTATCAATATGAGTAACAATATTAGTATCAATATTAGTGTCAATATTTGTAAAGTATTAGTATCAACGTTATTGTCAATATCAATATCAATATAAGTATCAATATTAATACCAATATAGTATCAATATGAGTGTCAATATGAATATCAGTATGAGTATCAATAGATCGAGTATATTTATGAGTATCAATATGAGTATTAGTATTAGTATCAGTATAAGTGTCGGTATTAGTATCAGTATTAATATCCGCATTAGTATCAGTATTAATGTTAATATTAGTATTGTATCAGATCAATATCAATATTAATATCAATGTCAATATTACTAACAATATTACTATCAAGATTAATATCAATATTGATATAAATATTAGTATCAATATCAATATCAATATTAGTATGAGTATCATTATCAATAGGTGTATTAGTATGAGTGTCAATATGATTATCATTATTAGTATCAGTATAAGTATCAATATTAATATCATTATTAGTACAAATATTAGTATCAATATTAGTATGAAAATGAGTATTGGTATAAATATCGGTAATATTAGCATTAATATTAATATTAGTATAAGTATTAGTATCAATATCAGTATAAGTATCATCATTAATGTGAGTAAGAGTATCAAAAGTAGTATCAATATGAGTATTAATCTGAGTATCAATAGTAATATAAGTATTAGTGTGAATTTCAGTATCAGTATGTGTATCAGTAGTAGTATCAGTATGCGTACCAATACAAGTATTTGTATGAGTATCATTATTATTATCAATATCAATATCAGTATTGATATAGTATTAATATGAGTATCAGTAATATACCAGTATGAGTATCAATTTGAATATCAATATGAGTATCAATATTAGTGTCAGTATTAGTGTCAGTATTAATTATCAATATCAGTATAAGTAGCAGTATGAGTACCAATATGAGTATAGGTGTGAATATCAATATCAATATCAATATCAGTATAAGTATCAGTGTTAGTATGAGTAACATTATCATTATTAGTATTATTACCAATATAAGTATCATTATGAATATCAGTATCAATATCAATATCAATATTTGTGTAAGTATGAATATCAGTTTAAGTATCAATATTAGTATCAATATGAATATCGGTATGAGTATCATTATGAATATCAATATTAATATCAATATTAGTGTCAGTATCAATACCAATGTCAATACCAATATTAGTATAAATATTAGTACATTATCGATATTAGTATAGTTATTATTATCAGTACCAGTATTTGTATCAGTATCAGTATCAATATCAGTATCAATATTTTTTTCAAAAATAAAAAATCAATATTTATCAGTATCAATATCAATATGCGTATAAGTACGAGTATCGGTAAGTATTAGTATGAGTATCAATACAATATCCGTATAAGTACGAGTATTAGTAAGTATTAGTATGAGTATTAATATTAGTATCAACTAGTAATTGTACCCGTGCGATGCACGGGACAACAAATTGCATTCTTTTGATGTTGTAAGAATATAAACAAACGTTTGATGTATCGTATGATCAAAATTCTATTATACTGGAACATTATTAAGTATACTACTACACACAAAAAAAAAGGACATAACTTTACTGTTGAATAATTTTCCAAATTAATTGAATCAGCTAATACCAGTAGATTGAAAATTTGAACCAGGAAAAAACTCATCAATTATGTCTTCCATGTTGAGCTTAAAAGTAATTAGATTTAATAACTAAGTTAACATAATCAAAACTAAACTATCGACAACATACCATCGTAAAAGGCCATCTATACATCTTGCATCGGAACTAAGCCCTTCTCCACTGCCTCATTTTAAGGTTGTTTTGCCACTGGAATTAACAATTGGAAAATTAAGAAACAAAAATAAATATAAACAATAAATTAAATATCGCATACAAACAATAAGTCTTGAAGGTCGACTTCCAATAGCTTGTGGCTCCGCCCATTTTTGGTTAATTTTCTCAAATCATCCCTTTCAATAACATGTCCAATAACATATAAAATGAAATAATTGTTATACATAAAATTTGAAAACTTTGGTATAAATTAATGAAACACATAATTTAACAAAATGAAATTACCTATAAGCCATGATGGAAAAAGATGTAAACTAATTGCCACACATGCAATAGGATGAAGAAGAAGATAAGAAACAAAATCTAAAGTCGGGTTACCAAAAGAAGAAGCCTTAGGTGGGGAAGAAATAAAATTCAAATGTTGCAGACATTCTGTAAAACGATGTCACAAAATCCGCTAGGGATGAAAATCAGATTTATTTACCCTTTTCTGTAAAAATCGAAAATCAGATTATTAGAAATAATATCTAGGAGAATTTGATGAAAATCGATAATAATATTTAAAATAATATTTCGGAGATAAAAAATTGATAAAAAAATCAAAAAATAATATTTAGGAGATAAAAATCAAAAATAAAATTTGAAATAATAGTTAGGAGATAAAAATTTGATAAAAAATCGAAAATAATATTTCAAATAATGTTAATGAGATAAAAGTTGATAAAATATGAAAATAATAATTAGAATAATATTTAGGAGATAAAATATGATTAAAATCAAAATTATTATTTAAAATAATATTTAGGAGATAAAAATTTGATAAAAATCGAAAATAATATTTAGGAGACAATAATCTGATAAAAAACGAAAATAATATTTAGGAGATAAAAAACTAATAAAAACATGATAAAACTCGAAAAAAATATTTAAAATATTATTTAGGAGATATAAATTTGATAAAATTCGAAAATAATATTTAGGAGATAAAAATCTGCTAAAAGTTGAAAATTATATTTAAAATTATAGTTAGGACTTAGGAGATATAAATTTGATAAAATTAAAAAAAATATTATTTATAATAATATTTAGGAGATAAAAATTTGATAAAAATGTAAAATGATATTTAGGAGACAAAAATCTGATTCAAATCCATAATTATATTTAAAATAATACTTAGGGGGATACAAATATG